AATTTTATGCATTTTTTTTCTCAAGGGTTTGAGGTATCTGAACCATTGTAAGGATTTTGTCCCAGAGTGTGAGGTCTCGGAGGTGTTGGGAGTGGGGACTCTGTCCCAAGGTATGAGGTCTCTGAGTGGTTTTGAGTTACTATGTCCCTGGGTGTGTTCCACCATGAGATCTCTTGGAGGTGGTTCTGTGTCTATGTCCTAACATATGAGGTTCCTGAGTTTCTCTGGATTATGTTTATTCATAGTATGAAGATTATGAATTATTTTTTTTAGTCTGTGTCCAGGGAGTGAGGCCTCTTAGCGGCTCAGGGACCTGAGCTGTCTGAAGGGTATGAGATGTCTGAGTTCTTTTGGGTCTGTGTTCCATGCCATGAAATCCTGTGTCATTTGGGGTTTGTTCCAGGGTGTGAGGTCTTTCACATTTTTGGTGGTTTCTGTATAAGGGTGTGATGCCTATGACCTATTCGTGGTCTATTCCTAGGGTACAAAGTCTCAGAATTTTATCATGTTTGTGTCTCAGGTAGGAGGTTTCTTTGCTAATTGGTTTCTATGGAGTTGGTGAGCTATTTAGGAGCCTGTTCAAAACCTGTTACCAAGAGGGGAGTTTCTGATTAGTTTTGTGGTCTGAGTCCAAGGTGTGGGGCATCTGAACTCTTTGAGTAACTGGCAACTCTTTGCAGGCTGCAAGGATTCTTTTTGGGGTCTGTACCCCAAAGTGTGATATCTCTGAGTTTGGGTTTTTTTTTTTCTGGATCTGCATGCCAAAACGTGAGATCTATGAACTCATGGGCATCTCTGTTCATGGCATGAGATTTCTGAATTATTTTGTGGTATGTGTCCAGGGTGTGAAGTCTCTATGCTGTTTTGGGTTCTGTGGCACATGATGGCCATTTGGGATATGTCTCCAGGTGTGAGGAGTCTGTCCCTATTGATAGTCACTGTCAAGGTTATGATATCTCTGACCTCTGTTTCCAAGGAGTGGGGTCTCTGAGCTATTTAGCCATCCATGTGACTGTGTGAGATCACTGTCTGTTCATGGATCTGGGTTCCAGAGTCCGAGATTTCTGAGCTGTCTGGGATTTTGTGTCCAGAGTGTCACGTCCTCTGAGTTGTCTTGGTTAGCTCTCAGGAGATAAGATCTCTGAGGTACTTACTGTTTATGCCCCAGGGTCAATTTTTGAGCCGTTTTGGGGTGTGCATTCTAGAATAAGAATTTCGGAGCTATCTGGGGCATGTGTCCACTTCTGGTCTCTGAGGTGTGTGACAGGATGTGAGATCTCTTTGTTTTTGAGTTTTTCTGTTCTCAGGAGGTCTGTGAGGTTGGGTTAGAGTTGTTGGGGGGTGGGGGGTGGTATGGAGTGGTCAGTGTCCAGAGCTTAAGGCCGCAGAATTGTTCTGTGCTGTGCTCAGAGTCTGAGATTTCTGAGCTCTTTGGGACACTGTGTCTCAGGGTGTGAGGTGTCTGCAGTGTTTGTAGGTCATTGTTCCAGTCTATGAAGCCTCTGAGCTCCTTGGGGATCTGCATCCAGTATATGAGGCCTTGGAATTGTTTTATGTTCTGTGTCCAAGGGTGTGAGATTTTTGTCGTCTTGGAGTCTGGTACCACAGAATGAGATTGCTGAGGTGTTTTTATTTCTTTTTGCTCAATGAACATTTTCTAAGCTGTTGGGGTGTCCTTTCCCCAGCATGTGAGGTGTTTGAACTCTTTGGGGATGTGGGTCCAGGGTTTCAGGTTTCTGAACTTTGTGGGAGTCTCCGTCAAGGGTGTGAGACCTCATAGCTCTTGTGGGTCTAGATCCCATTACATGAGGTGTTGGAGCCATTTGGCAGATGTTTCCAGGTGTGAGGTCTTTGACATTTGTGTGGGTCTCGGTTACAAGAATGAGGTCTTTTATTTATTTCTGGGTATATTTCCCAGAGTCTGATGTCTCTGAGATACTTTTATGAGTGTGTATGGCTTGGTGTGATGCCACTGAGGTGTTTCCGGCTCATGTCCTGACCTGTGAGCTCTCTGAGCTGTTTGGGGGTCTCTCTCCCAGGACCTGCGATCTCTGAGCTGTTTGGGGTCTGTGTCTGGGGCGTAAGTACCCACAGCAGTTTCAGACTGTGTTCCAGGGTGTGATTCTGAGTTCTATGAGGGGCTATCCTTGTTGAGCCACTTGAGCTGTGAAATCTCTTTTCTTTCAGAGATATCAGTCCCAGAGTGTGGTGTCTCTGTCCTCTTAGGGATTACTTTCTTGATAATGATGTCCCTGCCTTATTTGGGGTCGGCTTCCAATGACTTGTGGGGATGTGTCACAAGGTATGACGTCTCTGTACTCTTGGTGGGTCTGTATCCCATAGCGTGTGATGTCTGAAATACTTTAGATGTTCAGTGTCTAGTTTGTAAAGTCTATGAGGTGTTGGGTATCTGTGTCTGGAGATCTGTGAGTGGTTTGGGGTTCTTGGCCTTAGTGGGCAAGTTGTTCCAGCTCATGTGGATCCTGAGTTCCATTGATGTGAAGTTTTTGAGTAATTTGGGGTTTGTTTCCAGGCATGAGGTTTCTTTTTGGTGGTCTCCGTTCCAGCAAGGGATATATGTGATCTATTAGGGTCTGTTTCCAGGTAGCAAGGTCACTTAACTGTATCAGTGTCTCTTTTCTTTCTTTTTTTTTTTAAATTAACTATTTGAGAGAGAAAGAGAAAGGGAGAGAGAGACAGAGACAGAGAACACACATGAGCGGGGGCAGAGGGAGAGGGAGAAGCAGACTCCCCACTGAGCAGGGAGCCCAACAAGGCTCAATCCCAGGACTCTGGGATCATGTTAAGGCAGATGCTTAACTGACTGAGTGACCCAGCTGCCCCTCAGTGTCCCTCTTCCAAGGTGTGAGGTGTCTGCATTTTTGTGTGTCGTTTTTGAGTGTCTGTGTTCTTGAGTATGAAATCTCTTAGGATATTTGGGGTTTATTTCTAGGGCCTGAGGTCTTTGATCTATTTATTTGTTTAACCTGTTTGTCAAGTTGTAAGCCCTCTGAAATGTTTCCAGGTCTGCATCCAAGGTGTGACATCTTTATTGTTATGAACTCCATGTTGCAGATTTTGGGGTGTCTGAGATGTTTGGGGGCCTTGGTTATACAGTGTTAAGTCTCTGCACTGTTTTGGAACCTTTCTTCTAGGGTGTGGAGTCTCTGAGGGTTTGAATGTCTGTGTTCCTAAGTATAAAGTCTCATAAGCTGTTTAGAGATGTTTCCAGAGTCTGAGGTCACTAGAATATTTTTGTGCTGTGTCTTGTCCCAGGGTGTGAAGTTCCTGAGTTTTTTGGGAACTTATGTGCAGAGTATCACCTTTCTGGGCTGTCTGGGGCCAGTGTCCCAGGGAATGGGTCACAAGGCTTATGTCATAGTTCTTTGAGTTGTTTGGGTGTGAGGTCTCAATACTTTGCAGGGTTGATGCTCATCTTGTCTTTGAGCATTTCCCCCCCCACTTTGCCCAGATATTTTATGTATACCCCAGGTGGTGAGCTCTCTAAGCTGTTTGGGGGTCCATGTCCACGGTATGAGGTATGTAGGTTGTCTGGGGTTTGTGTCTCCATGTGAAAGGTCCCTGAGATGCTTTAGGGTCTCAGGGTGTGAGGTTCCTGTTGATGTTTGTAGTAGTCTGTGGCCAGAGGATGAGATCTATAAAATAACAGGTTATCAATGTCTTGTTATGAGTCCTTGGAGCCTTTGGCCAGCCTTTGGCCAGAGTGTGAGGTCTGTAGGCTGTTTTGTGATCTGTGTCCGCAGTATGAGACCCGTGCACTGTCTTGGACTCTGGGTCCCATGGTGCAAGGTCTCCAAGCTTTTCTGTGCCCTGTGTCCAGTGATATGACATCCCCGAGCCATCTGGGGTGTGTTCCAGTGGGGAGTCTCATTCTGTTTCACAGCCAGCCTGTACTCCGTGGTATAACATGAATCACCTTGATCAATTTACCCTTTACCGGCTAATGGTTTTCTCCTCCCATTCTTGTGCACACAGACCAGTGCATGTGTATTTCCGTAGAGCACATATTTATAAGTGGAATTGCCGGGTCAAAGAAGTTATTTATTCAACAAACTCCCTTTTGAGTACCTACTGTGTGCAGGACACTTTTAGGTGCTTGTGGAGACACGGGGGACTAGAAATCCACATACACTCTGGTGGTACTAGTGGGGAGGGAGGGATATCCATTTTTATTTTGATCGATGCTGCCACACAAGTTCAAACCTCCATCAGTGGCATCAGGAGATCGAATGCCTTTTCACGGGCCAGGGGGCTCTGCAGCAAGGGGTTGGGACACCTTGGCGTCGCCTTCAGCTAGATCATCGGGGTATGGGGCTTGGACGGTCCATTGGGGGATGTGTGAGGGGGAGCCTGGAATGGAACGGGTGCAGGGGGAGGAAAACATGAGGGTCTCTTTCGTTGTGTTGGCGTGAGCTGAAGATGGAATGATTCCTGGGCATTGGCATGAAACAGCCCTTCCTAGGCCGCGCACCTAAAGAGAGCGGGAAGGGTGGGAATGAAGAGTTAATGATGAGACAGTGCCGCTCTGGGACATACCATTGTGCGACATGGAGATGGAACAGTCGGCTCCGGGAGGTACCACGGCGGGGGGGGGGTCGTGTATTTTGGAAGAAACCACTGTATGTGTATGGTTTCCCCATTTTGCAGGTGCATCGACCGCACTCCAGATGGAGAAGAGAATGGCGCCGCCCTGACCAAACGGAGCCCCCGGGAGGGGGACGGTGGACCCCACCCTCGGCCTAAAGCCTCCACCCATCCGGAAGCCGCCACCACCATGATCTTACGTCTGGTTGGCTCTGAAGAGTCGAATCAGCAGCAGGGGTGGTGTGGGGTAGAAGGCTGCGGAGCAGTGATTGGCTCCGCGGCGAGCAGGGCGGGACCAAGCCCGGCCCTGGGCGTTGATTGGTCACCGCAAGACTGCCCACCCAAGCTCTTCCAGGGTACCAAGGTTTTCGGGAATCACTCATAGGCTACGAGCGCGTCGGCTGGCTCCGTGCTGCTATTGGCTGCTGACTTGGCGCAGGCGCCATGGCCCCTGCGTTGGCGTTCGCGGTTGCAGAGGCAGGGCTTTGGCCACTGGAGACCATAGGTTCGAATCCCGTCTGGGAACTTCAATTTGCGCCACCTGTAAAGAAGCTGGCATTATTGGCTAGCACAGAATGTGTCGGGTAACCTTTTCTATTCTCTACTACCTGTTCTTACTCTTTTTAGAACAATGCTTATTGTGTCCCGTTATATTGATTTCAGGACCCACTCACTGTTCACAGCAGCACTGAGAAAAATTCTTCACTGGGGTTCCTGACGTCTGTATTTCAGGCTACCTGTAGGTGTGAGTTCTGCAGAGAAGGTTCAAGGTGATCTTATGATCCTCCTCTAAGACATCCCCTCCTCTCCCCCCCCCCCCCCGAGGATGACTTGGAGGCTTCCTGCCCCCTCTGGACTAGGCCTGATTAAGGGTGTGTGGAGGTGTATGTGTGTGTTTATTGAGGAGTAAGGAGAGGGGTTGGGCCGTAAATGCATCATAAATGCATGATTTCATGCTCTGGGATGGAGGGGTGTGTGGCATTTAAAAGAGGAATTTTGAAGGGGGCAAGATGTAACTGCAAGGATAAACTTAATGATATGGGATTTTAGGCATCGGGCAGGGGAGGTGTTTGGCTGAGTGTAGGTAAGTAGGAGGAAAGTGGTTCTGAAGTCAGTCAGCTCACATCCCAGGGTAGTTATTACATGCTGTTCGCAGTGTGGAGGTCTGTGTCACAGAGATTTAGGTCTTCCAGGTATTTGTGGGTTTCTGTCTCAGGGTGAGAAGTCTCTAAGCTGCTTGGGGGTCTTTGTCTTGTGATGTGCAGGGTTGTTTGTTTTTTTTCCCCTTAAAATTGAATTTCCTTTTGTTTTATTGGCGCTTCTCTGACCACTGGAGGGGCTTCATACTGTTTTCTGAGCTTGTTGGCAAAATGTGTTTTTTAAGTTTATAAAACTTAAATTCCCTTTTACATCTTTTAATCTTTTTTCCTTTTAAAAAAATAGTTTAAAATCATTTTAGACTTAGAGAGAATTGCAAAAAGAGTGCAGAGAGTTCTGCATACCCTTAGCCCCGCTTCCCCTGATGTAAAGAACTTACATAACCATAGGACGACTTTAAAACCAGGAAATGGATACTGTTGTTCATGAGCGGTTGTTCACCTGTTTCGTGTCTGTGACCAAGGTGTGAAATATCTGAGCTTCTTGGACCCAGGGCTCTCTTGGGTTCTGTGTCCCATGCTGTGATGTCTCTGAGCATTTGGTGTATGTTTCTGGATGCTAGGTCTCTTATTTCCTTGGTGGTTTCTGTCCCAGAGAATGGTATCTTTGATCTATTAGGGTCTCTTCAGGGCATATCTTCTCTGAGCTGTTTGGGCTTCTGTGTTCAGGGTGGGAGGTCTCTGAGCACTTTGCGGGTCTAAATTCAAAGCTATGTGTACTCCCAGCCAGTTTTTATTGGTCTCTGTCAGAGATAATGAGGTCACTCAATACTTTTGGATTCTGTGTCTAGGGCAGGATTTCTCAACCTCAGCACTATGGACATTTAGGACCAGAAAATTCTTTGTTATGGAGGGCGTTGTAGGATGTTGTACTAGTTTGCTAGGCCTGCTGTAAAAAAAAAAAAAAAGTACCACAAACTGGAGGGGGGTTGTTGCTTGAGCAACCGAAATTTATTGTCTCACAGTTCTGGAGGCTGGAAGTCTGACATCCAGGTGTTGGCAGGTTTCTTTCCTTCTGAAGGCTGAGAAGGAGAATCTGTCCATGCCTCTCCCCTAGCTTCTGGTAGTTTCCTGGCAGGCTTTGACGTTCCTTGGCTTCTGCTGCATCACCCCGATTTCTTCCTTCATCTTCACACGGTGTTCGGTGCATGTGGGTCTGTGTCCAAATGTCCCTTTTTTATAAACACGCCAGTCCTAGTGGATTAGGGGTCCACTGTACTCCAGGAGTATGACTTCGTTTTTATATCTGCAATGGCCCTGTTTCCAAATAAGGTCACATTCTGGGGGTCCTAAGGGTTAGGACTTCAACATATGAATTTGAGTGGGGGGGGATATAAATCAACCCATAAAAGATGTTTAGCATGGGCAAAAAAGGAAAGAGGGAGGAAAGTAAGGAGCAGCCCCCAACACCCAGAGTTGTCCAGGTATTTACAGCTGAGCCATGTCATTCTCCTGTGAGACAGAAATGGCTTTACAGAATACTAACCTCAGACAAGGTTACTCTGAGACCATGATAAAATGAGACAAAGCAAAGCTACTTTATAATGTTGTCTAAGCACCGACAAAAACCGGTCATTGGGCCACCTGCGAGGTACCAAACGTCTGCCTCTCTTGGTTAAAATGAGTGACTGCTGCTTCTTTTTTTTTTTTTTAACACCAAATTCAGCTTTGTGTTTATTGTAGTCGGCCCTCACTAGAGAGAAGATTTATGGAGATGCCCAGTCTTAAAACTGCCCTCCCTTTCTGACCGTATCCAATCTAGAGGGAGCCCCCCTTCTTTGTAGCCTCCCCGAAACCACTTAACTGAAGCCCAGATCCTATCATTGGTTCTTACTTTTTTTTTTAATTAAAAAAAAATTTTTTTTTAGTGATCTCTGCACCCAACGTGGGGCCCGAACTCACAACCCTGAGATCAAGAGTCGCGTGCCCTTCTGACTGAGCCTGTCGGGCACCCCTAACTGGTTCTTCCTGATACCCTCTTACTGAGACATCCCTTGGCTCCCATGGTGTGTATTCTCCCTCACCGAAATGAATAATGAACCCTACTTGTTCAACTACAGGTATGTTCCTGGGGGGTCTTTGGCTAAAGGGCACTGACTAGTGGCATCCCTGATCTCGACCCACTTGTTGCCAATAGCACCTCTCCCCTTCCAGCTGTGACAACCAAAATGTCCCTTAGGCACTGTTGTGCACAGATGTTCCCGAGGCGGGGGAGGCAGATTGCCTCTGGTTGAGAACTACTGGTCCAGGGTATGAAGCCTTTGGACAGGTTGGGGGTCTTTGTCTGAAGTTCGTGGTGTTCTCTGAAAAGTGTTCGGGTCTGTTTCTCAGGATGTGAAGTCACTCATCTGTCTCAAGGTCTCTGCCCCAGTGTTTGAAAGCCCCAAGCTCTTTGGGGTGCTCTTATAGAGTGATGTCATCACCTGCCAAAATTCGGACGTGAGGTGTCCATGGCACGCACATGCCGCCCTGGCTACAGACCAGCTCAGAAAGGCAGAGAGAACTGGGAGTCATGTGATTGGTAGTGAACGCCTCCAAATGGACTCACAGCCACCTCTAGCTTCCTTGTCCAGACCAGGAAATACAGGTGGCCACTTCCTTCAGAACCTCTGTCTTGCCCTCTCTTCTAGGGGTCACAGAGTCTCCCTTGATACCGTTTGTGGCCAGTTGGGTTGTGGAGAGGCAGTGGCTATGGTCCAGAGTGGAGAGCCCTATCTTGGGATGGACGTTGCTCAGATGGATGTTGGAGTCTGTCTCCCTTCAGGCCTCGTCCACACCCAGTACGCATGGGTATTTGGGGCCTGGTAGAACCTATTTCAGAGCCTGGAACCCCCAAGTCCTGGTTGGGTGGTAGGAGAGTCCAGCTTTTTGGAGCATCTTTCTAAACCTTAATTTGACCTACTTGAGGTTTTGCAGGACTACTCTGAGTCAGAAGGACAGTGTAGGACAGTCCACACACCTGCACTCTCCTGATTTCAGCCCCCTCCCCTCTAATCACACATCCCTTCTGAAAGCAAAGTTCAGGGCTGGGGAAAGGGATGAGATGCAGGTAAATGCCATCTCTGGCCAGGGTCCAGTGTGGGTCTGAGACTGTCTCAGTTGGAACATGGGAGTCATGTGCATGTATCGCTTAATATAAATGTCTGTTGGGTTCAATAAAGAGTAAATATTCTCCAGAATTGTGTTTCCATCTCTAGTAAACCCACAGTTTTACTTCCTGTGTTCCTTTGAGAACATACATAATAGGCTGTGCATCGTGAGGCAAGGGTGCACAGTGAGAAAAAACATTGTTCTTGTGAAAACTGTAAATTGGGCTATAAGAGAGACAGGTTTTCTTTTTTTTTTTTTTTTTTAGAGAGGGGTTGGGGGAGGGGCAGAGGGAGAGAGAATCTCAAGCAGGCTCCATGCCCAGCACGGAGCCCAGTGCAGGACTCGATCTCACGACCCTGAGATCATGACCTGAGCCAAAATCAGGAGTTGGACGCCTAACTGACTGAGCCACCCAGGCACCCCCAGGTTTGTACTTTTATGCAGGAAGCAGGGTCTGAGCTCTGGAGAAAGGTTTTGGGGGAGGATGCAGGGCCTCGGTGAGTCAAAGAAGAAGTCATAAGAGAAGTCAAAAAATAGCTTGTATCTTTTTCTTTTTTTTAAGTAGGCTCCACGCCCAGCACGGAGCCCAATGGCAGGGCTTGAACTCACCACCCTGAGATCAAGACTCAGACGTTTAACCAACTGAGCCACCCAGGCACCCCAAAAATAGTTTGAACTAAATGAAAATGAAAATAAAACTTACCAAATTTGTGGGATGCAGCAAAGCAGTACTTAATATAGAGGACAGTTTTAAAGGAATTTTGGCTTCTGTCTTGCTCTTTCTTGGATCACTTGCTCTAGGGGAAGCCAGCCACCATGTTGTGAGGACACTCAAGCAGCCGCATGGAGAGATCTATGTACCAAAGAACTGAGGCACCCCAGCCAAAAGCCATCGCTAAATTGCCAGCAATGTGAGTGATCCAGCTTGGAAGCCGAGCTTCCGGCCCCACTTGAGCCTTCTGATGACTGCAGCCTGAGGGACTCAAAGCCAGAGCCATGCATCTAAGCTGCTCTTGAATTCCTGACTCCCCAAATCTGTGTGAGATGATTGGTGTTTGCTGTTGTTTTAAGTTGCTAAGTTTTGGTTAATTTGTTGCATTTCTGAGCTCTTTGAGGGTCTCTGTCTAGGGTTTGAGATTTCTGAGCTTTTGTGACCTGTATCCATATCTGGGTGTTTGGGGCATTCCCTCTTTCACATTTTTAGGTCTCTGATCTCTTTGGGGGGGTCTCTCTCTCTCTGTGTGTGTTTTTAGGTCTCTGAACTATTTGGTGTTCTATGCCTCAAAGTGTGGGGATTCTGGGCTGTTTTGGGTTCATGTCCAGAATGTGATCATAACTGTTTGGGATCCTTAATCCCCGGGTATGATGTCTCTGAGATACTTTGTACTTGGGTCCAGAATTTGAAGTCTCTGAGCTCCCTTGCAGTCTGTGTTGTAGGTGTGAGGTGTTCTGGGTGTCTCAGTGTTCACAGCCATGAACTCTTTGGAGGATTGTGTTTGGAGAAACCCATTTGTTCTTTGAGGTGTATGGAGTTTTAAGTCCCAGGAAAAGGTATCATGAAGGTGACTGGAATCTGCATCTGGGCTGATTGGTGCTGGAGCAGTTTGGGCCAGTGAGTCCCCACATATAAAGTCTCTGCTGTGTTCGAGAGTCTATGTCCAGATATTGACATTTCTGGTATTGAGGGCAGGGCGAATCTGTGTTCCAGGGTGTCAGCTCTCTGAACTGTTTATGGGTATATGTCCCAAGGTGTGAAGTTCCTGAGTTGTTTGTGAGTGTGTGTGTCCCAAATGTGTGGGGTCTCTGACATGCTCACAGCTGTAGGTTGCAGTTTATGAGGTCTCTGTTCACAGGTGTATTGTACCAGGGTATCCAAACTCTTTGAGTGTGTGTGCATGAGATTATGAGGTCTCTGATCTGTTTGGGTGTGTGGTTCCCAGGATGAGACATGTTTTATTTGTTTGTGGGTGTATATTCCAGGATGTTAGTTCTCTAATCTTTCTGGATGTGTACGTCCTGGGTGTGAGGTTTCTGCTCCATCAGTATATGGTCTAATGGTATAAAGGTTTCTGATCCATTTGTGGGTATATGTCCCAGGCTATGAGGTCTCTGATCTGTTTGTCATTGTATTTCTCAGGATGTGAGGTCTCTCTTCTGGATGCAGGTCAAGGATATGGGGTCTCTAATCGGTTTTTGGTTTTATGTCCCTGGATATTAGATCTCTGGTCTCTGGGGGTATATGTGCCAATGTGTGAGCTCTCTGACATGTTTGTGGGTGTATTTCCCAATATATGAGGTCTTTGTGGATATATTTTCCTGGTTGGTATGTTTCTGAGCCTTTTCGGTTATGTTTTCTGCGGGTGTGAGCACTCTGGTCCATTTGTGGAGTGTGTGTTGCAGGATATAAGGACTGTTCTGTCTGAGGGTGTATGTCCCAGAGTGTGAGGTCTCTGCTGTGTCTGTGGGTATATGTCTCTGACTGTGAGGTCTCTAAAATGTGTGTGGGTGTGGTTCTGAAGATGTAAGTTCCCTGAACTCTCTGTGGGTGTATGTCTCAGAAAATGAAAATCTATGGTCTATTTGTGAGAGTGTGCGTTCCAGAACATGAGGTCTCAGAGCTGTCTATCCCTGTGTATGTCCCAGTATGTGAGGTCTCTCTGCATGAGTATAGATCAAGGGTACCAGTTCTTTGATACTGTTGTGTTGGTACTTCCTAGGGAATGAGGTCTCTGAGCTGTTTGGGGTGGGGGGACTTCACATAATGTGAGTTCTCAAGTATGTTTGAGGCTGTATGACCCAGCATATAGGTCTCTGATCTCTTTGGGTGTGTATGTTCCATGATTTGAAGTCTCTGAGCTCTTTGTTGATGTATATCCTGAGGTATGAGGTCTCTGATCTATTTGTTGTTACATGTTATTATATGTGAGTCTGTCTTCACTGGTGTATGTCAAGGTCTGTTTGTGGGTGTATTTCTCAGTGTATGATGTCCCTGATCTGTTTCTACGTATATGTTCCAAAGTAAGAAGCCCCTGATATGTCTCTGTATGTAAGGTCTCTGATCTTCTCATAACTGTTTCAGGAGCTGGAGGTCTTTCATCCCTATGGTTATAATTCCCAGGTGTCTTGTCTGGTTATGTTTGTGGCTGTATGTCCTAGAATATCATGTGTCTGCGTTGTTTCTGCAAGGATGTCCCCGTTGTGAGGTTTCTGATCTCTTTGTGGGTATATTCACCAGAATGGGAGATCTGATGATGTTTGTGGGTGTATGTCCCAGAGCATGAGGTCACCGATGTTTGTGCATGTAAGCCCCAGGATCTGAGGTCTTTGATGTGCTTGTTCCTACAAGTATCAACATGTGAGGTGTCTTCCATGGGTGTATGCCAGGGGTATAAGTTCTCCAATATGTTTGTGATTCTGTGAACGTGGGTGCGAGGTCTCTTATTTGTCTGTGGGTGTATGTCTCAGTGTGTGAGGTCTGTGAGGTCTTTTTGGGTTTGCATCCCATGGTGTGAGGTCTCTGATTTGGTTCAGGGGTTATTTACTGAGATATGAGGCATATGTTTTTTTATCGTTAGATGTTCCAGGATGCGAGGCCTGTGGCTATTTATCATTGTATATCCCAGGATGTGAGGTCTCTTACGTGGGTGTATATAGAAAGTGTAAGGTCTTTGATCTATTTGTGGTTATATGGCCCTGGGTGTGAGGTCTCTGATCAGTTCATGGAGTTAATTTTTTTTTTTTTTTTTTAAGATTTTATTTATTTATTTGAGAGAGAGAGAGAGAGAGAACACATGAGGGGGGGGAGGGTCAGAGGGAGAAGCAGACTCCCTGCCGAGCAGGGAGCCCGATGCGGGACTCGATCCTGGGACTCCAGGATCATGACCTGAGCCGAAGGCAGTCGCTTAACCAACTGAGCCACCCAGGCGCCCTCATGGAGTTAATTCTTGCAAACAGAGCAGCAATGTCAAATTGTTAGATGTTAAATCCTATGATGCATGATGTGATGTCTTTGATCTTTTCGAGGGTGCATGACCCACAGTGTGAAGTATCTGATCTATTCCTTGTGTGTTTCCAAACGTGTGAGGTCTCTCACCTGGGTGACGGTATATGTCCCATGGTGTGAGGCCTCTTATTTACTTGCAGGTATATTCCCAAGAGAGGAGCTCTCTCCTCTCTTTTGAGCGGTGGGGCCCAATTTGAGAGTAAGGTCTGATCTGGTTGTGTGTATATGCCTCAGGGTGTAAGGTTTGTGGGCATATGCCCCAGACGTGAGGTCTCTGATCTGTTTGGGTGTGTCTGTCCAGGAGGTGAGATTTCTGATCAGATTTTTGGGTGCATATCCCAGGATGTAAGGTCTCTGATCTTATTGTGGGTCTAGCTCCCAGGATTTAAGGTCTCTGATCATTTGTGGATGTACATCCCAGGATACATTTTTTCTTTTTTTAAAAAAGAAAAGATTTTATTTATTTATTTGAGAGAGGGAGAGAGCACGTGAGAGAGAGATAGATCATGAGAAGCAGAGGGAGAGGGAGAAGCAGGCTTCCCGCGGAGCAGGGAGCCCGAAGCGGGGCTCGATCCCAGGACCCTGGGATCATGACCTGAGCCAAAGGCAGACGCTTCACCAACTGAGCCACCCACGCGTCCCCAGAATACGTTTCTTTAGTTTTTACAGGTATGTGTCCCAGGTTGTAGGTTCTCTGATCTGCTAGGGGGATTATTTGCCAAGATTTGAGGTTTCTGATTTGTTCTTGGGTGTATGTCATAGAATGTGAAATCCTAGATCTTTTAGGGTATGTATGCCCAGAGTGTAAGGTTTCTGACCTCTCTGTGGTTGTGTTTATGCTGTGAGGTTTCTTCTCTGTTCCTTCCTGTATGTGTCAGTACGTGCTGTCTGGTCACGAATTTTGTCAAGGATGTAAGTTCTCTGATCTGTTTGTTGTATATTCCAGGACATGAGGTCTCTGATCTGCTTGGTGGTGAGTGTCCCTGTGTGTGAGGTGTCTGAGCTCTGTGTGTGTGTGTGTGTGTGTGTGTCCCAGGGAGTGAGGGTTGTAATGGGCCTGGGGGTGTATCCCAGGTTGTGAGGTTTCTGATCTGTTTCGGAGTGAATGACAGCAGGCGCCATATGTGAACTCTTTATGGGTCTATGTTCTAGGCTTTGGGGCTCCCACGTGGTGGTCAGTATATGTGCTGGGCGCAGGAACCATAGTCCGTTTCTGGATGTACTACCCAGCATATGAAGTCTCTGAACTGTTTATAGGTTTGTGTTGCAGGATTTGAAGTCTGTGATTTCTTTTTTTTTTTTTCCCAAGCCCTGGTGTGGGGCTCACACTCATGACCCCAAGATCGAGAGTCACATGCTCTACTGATTGAGCCAGCCAGGCGCCCCCTAGTCTGATTTCTTTATGGCTAGACTTTCCAGGCTGTTAGGTCCCTGATCCATTTGTGGGTGTGTATATGAGGTGTGAGTTCCCTGATTGGTCTGTGGGTGTATTTCCCGGAATGTCACGTCTCTCCCAGTAGGTGCCGTGTACGTCACATCCGTGCTCCGTTTAGCTGAATACTGGCCCCCAGTAATATCTGTGTCCCAATCCCCGGAACCTGTGACTATGTTAACTTTCTGGGAAAAAGGACCTTGTAGGTGTAATGAAATGAAACACTTTGCAATTGGGGGTTTATCCTGGATTAACCAGGTAGGCCTAACATAATGACTGCTACCCTTCTATGTGGGAGGCAGGATGGTAAGGGTCAGAAATGGCCGTGGGAGAGTGATACGCGCGGAGTCAGAGACGGTGATGTAAAGATGGAAGCCGACCGAGAGAAGGAGGTGTGACAACTGAAACTGAGAGAAGAGGGATCAGAGAGAGATTTGAAGATGAAACACTGCTGGCTTTGACGATGGAGGAAGGGG